GACCGGCTAACCTCTGTCTTAGGATGTGCTGTGAATGTTATGGGAGAGCCCATTTATTCTATACAAACTACACAACCGGGAAAAACTCAAAATAATTGCGAAGGGCAGAGACGGTACCTTGAAGTAGTAAAGAAGTTTGTAGAAGGAAACTGTTATCCCAAAGTGTGGCTTGAAGATCCCACAGGCGGTAGCTTCTGGTTGCGTATGTTGTGAAAGCTGAAATACAAAACAAACAGTCAGGCGATTTTCGAAGAGAATCACTCAAAGATACCACGCACGGAAGTGTCCCGGATGTGGTTGTTTAGAAAGTTGTAAGGCAGATGGTTAGGCATTTTGAAAGGAATTTGCCCAAAGATACCCCAAACGGTATCTATAGAGCCTTTTTTGGAAATTGTTCAAAGATACCCCAGACGGTATCAATAGAATGCTTTTATTGAAGACTACTCAAAGATACCCCAAACGGTATCTATGGGATGCCTTTTTGGAAGCTTGCTCAGAAGTACCCCAGACGGCACAAAACCGGCAGAGGGTCTTATGAATGCAAATCAAGAATCTGCTTGAAGATGCCACAGGCGGTATGAAGACCGGCTGTGGGTCTATAGAAAAATGATTTTTCAGAAATGCCCCAGACGGAACATTTCCGGCTGAAGGTCTATTGAATGCAATTTTTGAAAAATTGTTTGAAGATGCCCGAGGCGGCATATTTCCGGCTGAGAGTCTGTGGAATGCAACTTTTGAAAACTGTTTGAAGATGCCCCAGGCGGTATATTACCGGTTGTGGATCTATTGTATGCCATTTGTGAAAGAAATTGCTTAAAGGTGCCCCAGCCAGTGTAAGACCGGCAGTGGTTCTATTGAAATCAAGAGGGAAATGATTGAGTCAGACGGTACCTTAGAGAAGATCGAAGAAGTACTCAGTCGGTATCCAGACGCGTCTGAATCAAAGTAGCTGGTTAAACGAAAAAGCAGCCGGTATCAGAGCTCTCAAGAAAATTTTTGCAAGTTTGTAAAAGTGAGAAGGAGAGAGAGGGTTGCCTCTATTTAAAGAGAAACCCAAAAGGCGAACCGCCACCTTCTGCCTCAAACATTATTCAAATTCTCAAAAAAAAAAAAAAAAAAAGAGAGAGAGAGATAAAGGCGGGAAGTAGACCAACCGTCACTTCCCCAGAGCATCACAACTGTGAGGGGCAAATGTTTAGGGTAAAAACTACCCTAGACACGTGGCAGCCTCTCAGAGGTTTACAAGGCTCCAATCCCCTAGTGACACGTGTCCATGGAACCCTAAATCAGGGACAGGTTCCTCCACTATAAATAGTGGACCAAACCTCATTTATTGGGCATTCATAAATTCATCCAAAACACTATACACGAAAATCGAGCAATATTCATTGCGGAATTCTCCCTAAACCCGAGAGAAGCATTTACCATTTCCGTACAATTTACTACTCCGGACGTATACTAACTTGATCGTCGGAGGCGAAGCTCCCACCAACCGGAGTCTTCGTTGTTTTGCAGGTACAGGCGTCGGCTGCACATACTAGGAATTGTAACTCTCCCAAGGGACTCCAAAAACCCCGAAACACTACCCGTAAAATAAAAAGAATAACTTTTTTCAAATAAAAAAGTTAATTAAATAAAATCAAGCATCTACCTTTTTCTCACTTCAAGCTGATAAGTTTTTATAAAAATAAAAAATAATTAATGTTAAAAATAATCAATCAATGTTTTTTCGAAAATTTGTTAAAAAAACATTTAAAATGCACCATGTTGCAAAAAAAAAAAAAAAAAAAAAAAAAAAAAAAAAAAAAAAAAAAAACCTTTTAAAAGCTTTATCGTAAAAGAAAAACTGAAGTTAAATTTATTTTGTTGAAAACAACCTATGCCTCTAATTCAATTAATTAAGCTCTAATTTTTTTCCTAATTACCCTATAACTCTCACTTAGCCATTTAATAATTAAATAAATTTATAAACAAAAAAAAAATACCCCCTTCCCTACCACCTGCCAGCCACCCTTTCCTTTTCCCCTTCCCCTAGAAGTAGTCCCCCTTCCCCCACTGAGCCGCATCCTGAACCGTCGGCCAGCCCCTCTCCCTTTCCCCCTTACCCCCGCTGTAACCCTCCCTTTCCTTAACTCATACCATTCACCTAACACCGATGATTTCTTCTTCGGTTAGAGAGTCAACTAAGACAGCTATGAGAGCATCAGCATCAAGTGGTGGAGGATCCTTGGAGAGGTCGGCGACGCAGCGCCGATGGCTAGAAAGAGGGGGAGAGAGAGAGAGAGAGATTCAAGGAGAGAAAAGGAAGAGGGGGAAGAAGCGTGAGTCACCTGATCGGAAACACCCATTAAGTGCTCGGTGTTAGGGTTTAGAGAGGGGGGAGGGTTGCATCAGGGGTAAGCGGGAAAGGTAGGAGGGTCTGCTGGCAGCCGAGAAGTTGGGGGTTCAAGTCAGCGGCTCGGTTGGGGGGAGAGAGTTGCTTCCATGGGAGGGGGGGAAAGGAGGGAGTAGCTGGCTCGTGGTGGGGTTGGTGGTATTTGGGTTTTTTTTATTTACAAAATAAGTTAATTAATAAATGGTTAAGTGAGGGTTAGAGGATAATTAGAAGAAATTAGAGCTTAAATAATTGAATTAGAGGTATTAGGTTGTCTTCAACAAAAAAATTTTACAATCGAGTTTTTTTTTGCTAAAATGTTAAAAAATATGGTTTTCTTTTGCCAAAAAACTTTTAAAACATTTCTTTTATTTTTTTTGTTTTGCAAAATGGTGCATTTAAAAGGTTTTTTTTTGACAAATTTGCCTTTTTTTCCATCATAAGTCTCTTAAATTACTGCGCCATGATTCAAGCTACATGTTATTCTTTAAAAAATTCTCATCCTAATTTTATTCTTTATTGAATAATTTATGAAGTCTAGACCCACCTCAAAACACCCCCGAAACCATCATGAAGGTTGGTTTTCAAGATGGTAAGGTTATTTTTGAAGTGCTTAGTGGATATTTCGAGTTGGTGAAGGTGGTTTAGTGATTTGAGATGTTGGTTTTTGGGGTTAGAGGTGGTGGTTTTGGTGTTGGAGGGTGGTTTCGGCGTGGTGGAGGCAATTTCAAGTAGGTTGTGTTGTTTTGGGGGTGTTTTGAGGTGGGTCAATGGTGGATTTCCGGCAAGGGTAGTATTTTACAATATTTTACCTTTTATTAGGTAGTTTCTTACAACATTTTATCTTTATTAGGTAGTTTCTTACAACATTTTACCTTTTATTATGTAGTTTATTACAACATTATTTTTTATTAGTAGGTAGTTTCTCACAAAATTTGGGATTTATTAGGTAATTTTTTGACAAAACATCCAAAATAACAAAAACATAGAAATTTATTTCGGCAAACCAGCAAAAGTCCGAATCATTTGAGGCATATCATATTTATATCTATAATCCATAATCTATTTATAATATTGTTAAAAACTCATAAAGACAACATGCTAACGGCATGTGTCACATGTCCTTCAATATGATTTGATGCCACATGTGCGTTATGTGTCACTCTATGTTCACCACATTGAATTGTACTCCCTCCGTTTTATTTTTAAACTAGTGAGTAGCCCAGGCGTTGCCCCAGGTTACTACTTTTATAATTGTGCAATTGCTAATTTTTAAGAGCATCTAATAGTTTGTATATAGTATGTGTCTTCAATACTTTGTAGTATAATATTATTTATTGTGCAATGTTAAAGCGTAATTAACAATTAGTCTAGTTATACAATAACTTTTGTTTTAAGAGGTCAAGTGTTCGAACCTTCTTATCCATATATTTTTTTCAATATAGTTGAGACAACATAGAGTATTGTTGATTGTGTAGATGACGTGGCATATTCAGAAGTTGAGTGAATGACGTAGCATATTGAGGAGTTGAGTAAGTGACGTGGCGAAATAAGTGGCCCAACGTGGCGTATAGACGTTCTTAGAAATGTCTTTTAATATATTAGTATAGATGCTACACTTGCCTGATTCGGCCGTTTTTCTGAAAAGGACACACTTCCTTTTTTTGGAAATCCCTTACACTTAAATAAAATATTCTCTCTTATTTATCATTTCTCACTCCTTCAATGGTCATCACTCTCTTTCACATCCCTTTACTATTCAATATAATAATAACCTCACTATCTTTTCTTACAATTTTTTTTATTATACTACAAATCCCACTAACATGTTATTTTATTAAAGTCAATAAGACCTCATTAAACTCCATGCATTCACAACTCAAGCATTTAAACGGAGGGAGTAGTTCTCCCTTTGTTTTAATTTGATAGTGTCATTTTGACTTTGCACGGTTTTTAAGATGTACCCTTGCCCATCAACATCTTTAATTGTTAACATCTTTAATTACCAATATGTAAATAAAATTATAAACATTTTATATTAAAAAATTATAACTCGAGACAAATCTAACAAGATCTCATACGATTACATTTTTGTTGCAAGTAAAATAACGGAGGAAATAGATATTATAAACTACATATTCGGATGAATCTAACAATGTCTCATATGAATCTAACAATACTATATCTTTAATGTATATTAATGTGAGTTTTTGGTCAAAAATTTTAAAGCTTGATTATAAAAAGTCAAAATTGGACAATTAAATTGAAAAGAAATGAGTAATGTTTAATCTCTTTAAAAAACTAGTCATTGATGTTAATTCATTTCTCTATAATAATGTTTAATATACTTGAATAACTTTTCATATGTGTGACCTCTTATTATCTTTTCATTCACTTATTAACATTGTTCAACATTAACTCTTGCAAATTAATTTTGATCAAACTTATAAATTCCGGATCATTGTTTGGGTGAACAACTAGTTGATGTTATTAAATACTCATAATAGTCGTAAGAATGACTCGAATCATAGAGAAAGAGAGCCAATGAATCAAAGAGTGATGCAATAACACATCAGCGATTACATATTGACGTAATGTAGCACGTAATACACAATAAAATATAATGCTTAACTGTCGTTGACACAAAATCTTTTCTTCACATTCCATCCATAAATATGGTATAGGCTCCCTCCAACGTACAAAGCCAACAAAATTAATATCAAACTCGTTTTTAAAAAATATTTCTTCAAATAGTTAACGATGTACCAAGCACTTCCTTACAAGGCATGGCACACAACAAATTTATTTCCTACATCGTCATCCTTGAATGATCATGGAAGCTCATCGTTGTCGAAACGGATGGTGGTGAAGGAGGAGAGTATAGATATTAAGAGCCTAGTTGATGAAAATGCAGTGATAGTATTTGGACGACGTGGGTGTTGCATGAGCCATGTGGTACGACGTTTGCTACTTGGCCTTGGAGTTAGTCCTGCTGTTTATGAGGTTGATGAGCAAGATGAGAAAGTGGTTGTAGGTGAGATTACGAAAGTGGGGTCCAACTGTGGTGATAGTGACAATCCGGTGAGTTTTCCGGCAGTGTTTATTGGTGGCCGGTGGTTTGGTGACTTGGATAGGGTGATGGCGACTCATATTACTGGCGAGTTGACTCCTATTCTTAAAGATGCAGGGGCCTTGTGGCTTTGAAGTATGGGCAATTGAAGAAGAAGAAACTACCCTTCTTTGGGAGGTTTGTTTTTGTATTTATTGTAACTGATTTCACCTAAACCATAAATATTATTATCATATTTAGATTTTAACAATGATTTAGTAGTAAGAAAATATTTCTTCTCTAATAGGAAAATGGAAGATAATTCAAAAAAGATAACAACTCTGTGATAAAATGAGCTTTTGTGATATATACTGCCGTGATTCTAGTGTGAGTGTGTTTGTTTTTGAAGATAGAAATGACAAAATTATGGTGTTAAAATAAGACAGTTTTGAAAGTTTTATTTGATTAAAGTTCCTACAATTTCCAGATAATATTCAATGACCCAACTGTGGTTAAGTGTAGGATAAGCTACATTCCAGGAGCTGTGCCACAGCCCAGAAACCGCAACAACTAGATTTGTTTCAAATCATGGCTTAAAACAGGCTGCCTAATGTACAGTCTCAAACCAAGAACTTAGCCTAGTTCAAACCAGTCAACTAGCCATCGGGTCAATCTAAGGCTCTTGCTACTATAGCTTCCCCCCCCCCCCCCCCCCCCCGCAATGGTTTGAAGCCAGCCATAATACACCCACCAGCCCCGCTCCAGTAACCGGGTGATGACCATACTACCTAATGCATGAATGCAACTCTTGCTGTCAAAGGCAGTTGCTATACTGTTGATTATTCAACTCTTCCAGAAGAAATTTCAGATGAAAACAGCTATTATTGACAAGTTTCAGAATTGTCAATGTTTCCACCTGTCGAAAGCCAAGAGCAGTGATTATAGAAGAGTGCTAATTAGTTAGTTCAGTCAACTACAATATCTATCAAGAAGAAAAATAAAGGAAGAAAGTATAGACTTTGACAAACATGTACAATACACATCTAGAATACAGACAGGGATTCAGATATTACAATTATATAGTATCCAGCCAAGAATCAAAATCTTCCAGAACCTTGGAATTGGAACCCGATTGGGATATAGATGATGAGGGAACCTGGGTGGGTCGGAAAAGACTATCTGTATTGCTCGGGTTAGATGTTTCTGCAAGGAGGTCATCAAGCTCATTATCGAGACTACTGATGATGGGAAATGCAAGTGCAGATTGACCCAATGAATGTTGTACTGGAGCTAAAGGATTAGCTTTATGTCCCGTCATATATGATGCAGAGGTTCCTGGTTGATTTAAAGGAGTATCAAAAATCTTTGTCTCGTTAAATGATCCAAGAAGCATGTCAAGCTCTGCTTCTGCAGAAGCAGCTTCAAATCTTGATAACGGCCTTATTTCTTGCTCCGTTACATGACTGACCTCAGGCTTTTCTTTCTCATCCAGAAATTCCAAGTCGTCCAATTTGCTATTTGTAACTTGCTTAGTTACATGACTAACCTGCCCTACCTCATCTAATTTGCTCTCTGCACGTTTCTTGCTACCATGATCAGGTTGTACATTTTCCCTATCATCAAGAAAATCCATGTCATCCAATTGGCTCAATGTTACATCACCTTTAGAATCTGATTTTGATTTTGGATCTGGATCATGGTGGCTGGTAATATTTGATGAAGGCATATTACCATCTTTCTCTACATCTTGACTCTTAGCCATTCGTTCCTCTTCCAAATAAAGAGCTAGTAACTCACCAAAACTGTCAATTTTTTCAATCTTCCGTCTCTCAGATGTATGTAAAGGCGCCTGATTATCAGCTTTTCTCGCATCTTGGTGATGCTGCAACATGAAGAAAGCATGAAGAAAAGACCATGTTAGTGTAGAAGGTATATCAAGGAATCGGTTGTTCATCACAATACTAGGGGAAATTTGGCATGTCTCTTAAATAGTCATTTAAGCACTAAAAACTCACATTCCAGAACTAAATTAAACCTGGAAAGATTGTCTCATGCATAGCTACTAAACTCAAATTACCTAAATTGTACCCAAACAATGGTAACATGCTTTTGACCTAGACCTAAATCAACTCAATCCAAACCAAAGTAATTTGAGAATCCATATGACTAATATCGATTGAGACTTCATTGCAAATTCATTTCTAAACTGCAATTATCTAAATCCAAATGAGTTTTTCGTTTGTATACAGTATCAATGGTATATTGGTATATGACTCAGACTAATTATGTTGAGCTGAAGTAGATCTAAAAGACCCGTTTGCAGGCCAAGGAATTCTTTATAAGGAAGATAGGGAAAATAAAACAAGAAAAAGAAAAGAAAAGAATGGGATACAAACTGAAATCTTTATTTGCACTCTAACAACAAAAGTGATTTGGTTGATGCATTTATTTACTCCTGAAATTTTTATCATCTTTTATAGGTTACCTCATAAGCTAAAGACAAAGCAAAGGTGACATTGGTGAGGATTCTCATAAGTAAAAACAGTACCCTTTCAAAAGACACAAAAGTGATCAACCAAAAAGCACTAAGGACATTTGGCATTGTGTGTCTCTTCACTATCTTGATTGAGCGGTCAATTAGCTACATAGCAACAATATGTAAATACTGGTATCTCAAGGGGGAAAAAAGTCAAATTCTACCATTCCTTTACTTTCTACTCCATTTGCTGCTTCTTGCCAAAACAACATAAGGCATATGACTTCCTAAGCTTCACAGACTCCACCTTGTAAGGTATTCAATCGAATTATTATCACATGATATCACACCCCAGAGGCAGCAGCAGTTGCATCTTCCAATTACTATTTCTCTTCTGTTTGTTTATAAAGCACAAACATTTGATAAAACTGCCTTTTCCATCTTCTCATCTTCTAAACGGGATCTCATTTTTAGTTTACAACTGTAACCAATATTCACAGGTCCCAACTTTCCAACAGGCAACAGCCTTAAAATTCATACAGAGCCAGACATTCTTTACAAATTTATCCTACCATCCATTTGAGTCTTTCTCGCTTTTTTGACTAAATCAGACACCACATATCCCCTTGACTGATTTTTCTTGTTAAGTTATCCCAAGGAAAGAAAATTGAATAAAGACCCATTCTTGAAGCTCCCCCAGTTGGGAATTTACTGAAACTTCATTCTTATGATATTTCAACAAACCCAGTTTCTACTTCAAAGCCAAATTCATCAGAAACTTCTTCCTTAAGTTTTCATTAAAAAAATTTCTTGATTTCATGCCCTAGAAAAATACTTCAACAACCGACCAAGACTTCACGCCCCATCAAACTCAGAGCTTTGAAGATACCATAGCCAAGATGACTACTTCAAAGCAAAAAGGCTGCTTCCAGATTCTAGCAACTTTTGTTAGATTTGTCTTTTCACAATCTTTTCCAATGTTTTTTTAATTTTTCTTTTCATCTTCATTCTTAAATTTAACTCAACATGATAGGCAAAATTGGTTTTGATTGCCTTTCTATTATCGCTTAACTGAAATAAGTCAGGTAACTACCCTTATTAATTTTTATTATATATATGTACTTCATTTTTTCTCATTTGTTGGTTTTTCCCTGAGAGCATTTGTTGGTTTCGCCCTGAGAGACAAATTCTGTGACTTCTGTCTAAAGTTGGTGATCTTGACTCAAAAATGTATTTCCACCCTGATTTTTGTATTTTCATGGTCGTTTTAATGCCTATAATTCTATAAGGGCTTCAACTTCCCCAATTTCAAAAAAAAAAAAAAAAAAAGTGTTATTGTAGCTTGTTTTAAAAAACAAATTATTAGATTTATTGTAAAAATTTGCAGTAATTCAAGGCATTTATAGCAACAAGAAAAATACGAGCATGAAATGTACTAACAAGGGGGGAAGAACAATTTAAGTCATGATATAGCAGGACCTACAAACGAAAATAACGAAAGGTAACTAAATATAATACAAATTAGGAAAGGTGATTATTTTCAGTATAAAAAAGTAGTTAAAACCAATTTTTCCTAAAATTGAAGACACATTGTATGATACAATAAATTAAACAGCATTTTAATGCTTCTGCAATGAAAAAAATAAATAAAAAAAAAAAAACCTCTGTACTTAAAAAAAATTCTGCACTAGAAAGGCCACAAACATTGAACTCAAGCCCCTACTGGAACAATAGGTTCAGAGAGAGAAAATCACAGATCCAATGACCATTAAGTAGAAATCACATGCTAGTCATCAAAAGGAAGAATGCCACAAAAAGATTCATCTTCGCCAGCAAAACTATGAACAAGAGCTACTGACTCTGACCCCATTGAGTTTTCTAGGATACAGCAAAGACTAATCAAGGGGTTAAATTATATAGCAAATATAAGTTTTGACTAATACTCTAGGCAAGAAAGAAGCTGGTTTATATGGGATCATAATACCAGAAGCCACCTTAACATAGTAAATATTATCATATATAGCCTCAAAATATTCTCAAAGGAACATTTAAGAATATCAATAAGTAAAGAATCACATCTTAAGTAACTCTTAGTCATTAAACCATAATGTTCGCTCTGGAAGTCCAACATAGAACCAAAGCATATTTTACTTTCCAACGTGAAAGTGTTGATCCTATCACTCCTTTGCCATAACCAGCAGCTTTTCAATTGCTAGATTGTACAACCAAGAGCACGATGTGCACAGTGGACATAATGACACTCAAAGAGTAAGAATCTAGGGTAGTTTTGGTTGTTTTAGTGCATGTTTTTAGCCATTTTGATTCAATAATAGACTTGTTTGCTTATCGAGATGTAAATCAAAAGAATAACATATTTACTTGACTTCTTACTTAAATTTGATGATAATCCCTATTAATCCCATACTCGCTTTTGGTTTTTACATGGAGGTTTCCGGAGTGTCTCCAAGCCTGTTTGAGGAAAGGGTGCTCAAATAAGTAATATAAGGGAGCTTTGGAAGAACAAGAAGAAGAGTATAGCAGAGGGGCAGTCAGTCAGAGAGCGGCACAGGTAGTGCGCCCGCACCAAATTTTGAAGATATGCTAATTAGTTACTACTGCGGACAGAATCCCCTTATGCGGCCGCACTATCACTTGACCATTCGCACCACATAGCAGCAGCCGTATCCCAGCAGTGCACGCATTAGCGTGGGCAGTCCACCAACACTGCAAGCGCAGCTCAGAAAACAATGTGGGTGACTTGAGTGGCAACTACCCAAACTACCCACTTGGTGCACCCGCACCAACCTGCACATGGCTTCTTTATTCCTTTTCATTACACTTTTCATATATATACTCCTTTTCTCATGTAATGAAGGAATTATACTTTAAATATTTTACTGTTAATATATTTAGCTTTCGTAAAAAGATTGTAGAAACAATCAAGTTCTTCAACATTTATGCAATCTAATTCAATTCAGTTAAGATTTTATTCCTTGCACTTTAGTTTTAGTTTCTTTTGATCATACTTAGTTGTTAATTTGTTAATTAGTACTAGATTTGTTTGGTTACTTGATTAAGTATAGAATCCTTTAATTAGTTCTCTATTTATCATCTTAGTAGCCCTTAAATTGCTTCAATTTCCATAATTATTAGTGAGTAGACTTCTAGTTAGAAGAGTGGTGAAGCTTGATCATGAGCTATTGAGTAAATTGAGATGAATTTGATAATGATTATGTGACTAAATTTGATTGAATGATGGGTGGCATGTTGTTAGCTTAAAGTGGATTGATCATCCATGGTAGTGAGTGTAATTGCATACTGATCTTAGTTTGACGTGAATATGGTGATTGAGATTGATATATTTGATTGCATCTTGGTTTAATGCTCTTGTAAATTGGACCACATAGGGATCTAGATTGATTTTTAGGGAAGTTATACTTGGAACACAATAATCTCTTATTACATTTTAGTCTTTGATAAATATTTATCATTCATTGGGATCTCACTAGCTCTTAATCAAGTACATCCACTATCCCCTAGCATTTGCATTCAGTGATGTTTCCTATCATTTTTTCTCAATTAGAGGTTAGAACACTTTCATCCATTTTTAATTTAAAATTAGTTTGCACATTAAGTAAAAAAAAAAAAAAAAAAAAACCAATAATTCTCTTCCATTCTCGTGGATCAATACTCTTACTTGTCATTTACCTTATTTTGTTTCATTAGGGGTGAGATATATCAACAACGATATTTCCCTTGTCAAAATGCCATCGTTATTGGGGAATGGTGTCAAAGTTTGAAACTTAACAAATTTCGGAGAGCCCCAACCAAGGGGGAGGTATTGACATTCCTTCTTCTCACACCCCCGCTCCCTCTATAAGCAATTTGCTAATTCATATGATTTCACGAATCATCAAGCTCAACTTGACCTAATAGCTAGAGCCAAGTTACTGCCTCTAACAATCAATGACAAGTTGATAATTACAATTATTGTAATAATCAAACCTATGACTTACATGTGCATAGGGAGAAGATTAATCCTTATGTAAATTACCTTTATTACACAATCCAACAAGAACCTGCTCCTAAATCGGGTGGTGAAAGCTCATCACCCTATTAACTCTTATTTGGAGGTCCAATGTTGCCGATAATGAGATCCAAAGGACAACCCCCGACACCTAAGAATATAGGCAGCTGGGTATGCAATTATACTTATGACCTGACCTACCCTTACCATTTCCCCGACCCCGAGAGTTTTGGGTGGTGGGGCCTCTCAGGTGTGTTGGTCCTTGATGATTGGTTCAATTTTTTTAAAACGGGAGAGGGAATTAAAGACTATAGAAAGAGAGGGTAAAAAGAGAAGAAAATGAGAGATTGGCTAATACTTTTTTTTGAGTTTGGGTTAAAGTCTTAAGAAACCCTTACAAGAGCATACTCATCCTTTAGAGCAATCGAAGGGTTTAAATGGCGAGATGCATATGCTAAATGCATATGAGATTCCTACAGAAGGGAGTTAGTGTATATATTTTAGTTTGCTTTCTTTGCTTGAAATAAATCTTCACATGCTTAGTTTAGTGTTTCATTCTCTTGTCCATGATGTTATTTGTTTTGCTCCAGGCAAGCAAAAGTCTAGCTTAGGGGAAAGTCATTGGCTGATGTTGTACAGGTAGCTACCCAGTTCATGTTTATCTCATTTTTCATACATGCTCTATTATTATACTTCCATTTTACTTTACTGTATATTCGCTTATAATGAACTTTACATCATTTTGTAAATGAAAATGAGTTAAGTTCGTTTAATTGGAATTGTGTGGTCTTATATTTTGAAATTTATGTGCTTTAGGGAGCATAATCCACTTCATACTTCTTTACTGTATATTCACTTATAATGAACTTTACATCATTTTATAAATGAAAATGAGTTAAGTACATTTAATTGCAATTGTGTGTTCTTATTTGAACTTTATGTGCTTTATGGCCCTTGAGCTATTTGAAATGCCATTAATAAGGAGCAGTATCAGTTTTAACAACTAAAAGCTTCTATGTAATTTCTCTTAGCTTTAGTAGATCGGGGTTACTGTAAACATGTCATAACACTAAGATTTCTTCAATCAAATCTTCAAGAGTGGAGCCAGATTTTCTTCAACAAAGCTGAGGTTTTAAGTTCTTATAAAAAAGTCCATAGTAAAAACCAATATTTTTAGTTATTTTCATGAGATACACTTACAAATTGGATTTAATTTGGACTTCTTTTTCCCATTTTCAAACTGATGAGTTTTCATACAGGATCTCAGATCTAGAAATTGAAGTTCATAGTCCAGTACTCCAGTCTATAATCCATTATTTTAGGAAGTAGGATATGTGCTTAATTTTAAAGTAAATTGCATAACCCCAATACCCTAAATGTAAGATACAGTTACTCAACTAGCAGCTTGTTGCTACTCTTTCTTTCAGCTCTCAACAATTTGAAAAAACGAGTTTATGAGATAAAATTTTAAGTAAAAGCCCAGCAAAAAATTGACCCCTCTCTCCTTGTATAACTTTATACTAATAACATGTACAAGTGTATCAGGTCTTGGCCATAAACCATGGTATTAAACTAGATAGCTGCAAATTCGTTTACATTGCCCTTAAATGAGAAACTAGGAACATGATCAGGTCATCATGATCACATCTGCATCTAAGATATAAAATCCTAGTGCATACCATTGATGAATGTTCTGATTAAGTAAACTGTATTTGTTATTTTTAAATTTTTACATAAAATGAACAAGGCCTAGGTATTAATTTCAGCATAGAAATAGAAGGAGATAGAAATTTGCCAAGGATAAAATTGGCCTTGAATTTAACTGTAATAATGTGGATTGGATTAGATGTTTAGATCATATTGTAGTTTCCACTCTATCAATTTGATTCATTTGTATTTCAAAATCAAGTACAATGCATACTTGGAGCAAGCCCAAAGTATTTAACTAAATAATCAAACTTTTACTTCTACTTTATCTTCCAATGTGAATTAAAGCTGCTATGCTGTAATTAATTTTAAAAAATAAAAGCAGACAAACGCAGGAAATGGGGTTTTGGCTACAACAGCTACAGAAATAGAGAGCATAAACTCAAGCAAGCATCTAACCATGGTGGTGATGCCATGACGAATTAAAACTTTCTAATTATGAGCATGCAGGAAGGAAATAATAGATTAACATCATAAGAAGACTGAAGATAAACGATACATACCAACTCTGGAGGAAAAAGATCTGATTCCACAAAGAGTCTTTTTGCTAAGTCTACTTTTGATAGCCGCTCTGCAAGATCTTTTAGATCTAAAGTCAAAGATGGTATCTGCAACAGATTACAAGAACAAATAAGAAAGCTTTACAAGGCATCTTGCCAATTTAATAGATGTAACCTGATATGGAAATACACCTATGATACAGAATAAGAGAAAGTAAATTAATCAGAACCCAACTGAATTAAAGATTTTTTCAATATGTAGCCCTGAGGTGTACAAGTAATATATATTCCCAAAAAGAGTACAGATTTCAGACTTTATGACAAAGTCATGCACCAATCCAGGTGCTATCAATGGAAAATGCCTAATCAATACTATAGACATTTAAACCAAGGATGTTTATTCATAGCTTTCACACTTGTCCAACTTCAGCAGTTTTACCTTCTACTACCTTCGATTCTGAAACTTCTTAACATTTACTATAAGCACACAAACTAAGGCTAGAGTAAGAAAGAATGTAAAAAAGGGGTCGGTGTGAAAAATGGTGGATAAAGTGATAAAGAGTGAGTGGAAAGAAGGAAAATTTGTGGGATATGAGGGGTACAATAATACAAGTGTTTAACCAAAAATAGAATAGTGTGTAAGTGTTAAGATTTGAAAACGTTATGGAATGGACGAAAACAAAATATGTATATAACTTTCAAAAACAGGGAAAGTATCTTACCAATAAACAATTTCTACCAGTGTGAAAGTATCTATATTTATAGGAAAATTTGTGAACCACTACCATTTACTTTGCACTTTTTAATATAACTACCATTTAAGTTTTTTTTTTTTTTTTAAATAACTACCATTATTAGAAAATTTATATGAGTACCACTACCATTTGACCGGCAACAGTTAAAAAAACCGTTTTGTGGGGCCCACTTGAACCCTAACCACCCACTACTCCCCACCCGAACCAAACCCCAACCACCCATCAATCCCCTACTTGAACCGAACCCCAACCACCCACCACTCCCCTACCCAAATCGAACCCGCCACTCACCACTACTCCCCCAACTTGAACCAAACTAGCCACCCACCACTCCCCCACCTGATTATGCGGGTGTGAGTGGACGGCGAGGTTCGACAGATGGAGGTGAAAGAAGAGGTGATGTGGAGGGGTGGGATTTGGCAGTGGAAGGCGCGGAGGAGAGAGAAAGAGAGTATGTCAAGGTGAAGAGGAAGGAGGGGGGTTTCATGGTGGCTAGTTGAGTTGGTGGTCTTGTGGGGTCAGCGGTGGTGGTGGTGGACTGGTGGGGGGTTAGGGTCACAAGACGATTTTTTTAACAGTTACTGTTAAATGGTAGTGAAACTCAAACATATTTTCAAATAATGGTAGTTATTTTGGTAAAAAAAAAAAAAAAAAAAAAAGGAACTTATGTAGTAGTTGTTTACAAAAAGTGCAAAGTAATTGGCAGTGGTTCACAAAAAATCCATATTTATATATGATAAGTCTTATATTATACGTGTTTAGGGTCTTTTTAGTTGCTCCAAGTCTAGTTTATTAGCTTTTGGTTTAGTTTAGTTTTGGTTTTTTAGATAAATTGTAATCATGCGATGCTTTTACAGGTAGGTTTATTGTCTTTGATGCATGAGGCTATTTCGGAGATTTCCCGGGAGTACGCAACTCGGTCATGGCTCACAAACCTTTACAAAGCTTGAAGTTCGAACTACAAGTCAAGACGAGCCAAAGTTCAGCTAGGGGCACGCCCATGTTGCTCAGGGCACGGGGCGTGCCATTGTGTTTAAAGGGAAGCAGTAAGTTCTGATTTGAGGTTTTGACTAAGGCACACCCGTGCCTAAATCAGACGGGGGTGTCGGCTATTCGGATGCCCCATGCGCGCTAGAAGAAGCAGGCACGCCCATGCTGGAACAAGGCAACCTTGCCTTGACAAGTGAGTTGCGCACCAGCAGAGGCACGCCCATGCCGGAATTGGGCACGTTCGTGCCTAAGCAAAGAGAAGTTGAAGCCGAGCTACTGCTTTGTAAATGTTGTTTAGCAGCATGATTCCATCCGTGAAAGTGAAAACCTAGCTGGAGTACTGAACCATTATAAATACTAGAAGAACTACGCGTGCACAAAGAAAGATAATCACTGCAAATGTGATCAATCCAGCAGAGGTTCTTGCTAATAACAGCAGACTTTATAAAGCAGGGGTGTTTACTAGATGCACCTAACAAATCTTGACGTTGGCTAAGATAGCTGGAAACATTCAACTATGATTACTTAGGGGCATTATAATGATGAGTTCTTAAAACAGATCTCTATTCCTTGTAGATGAATACCTCTCGATTCTTGAAAACAGAATCCCGAAGTATCAAAGAACATCAATAACTGCAAGAGCTTTTACCAGCAAGGGTATCAATGATTATAGTTTAAAACACTCCAAAAGAGTGCCAAAACACAGTTCACAATCTTAACGATTCTGTAAAAACAAACAAGCATTCAGAAACTCTCGAGTTTGTAGCACCTCTACTCTGAAATATGGTTACACAAAAACTCTAGTCAATCTAATGTGCCAGCACTAAAATGAGCATATACATATACAAGATGATTCCTGAAATTTTAGTATTTCAGATTTCAAAGCACCTTAATTATACTTCAGAGCTCTGGATGGGGTTGGCACATATTCTTATAGCCAAGTGGGTCTTTCTACTATACTATACAAAGGATCCAAATCTTAAAATGGCAAGTAACAAACAGAATTGTGAGAGCAACTTCAACATGAGCTCATCGATACAGGAGTAAAAGGTAAACTGTCAGAAAAGGAGAAATTCATAAATCACAATATTTTTGTTAAGATCAGATATCATACACTTGAAGAAAATGCATGCAAAAGTAAGGTAAAACTAAAATACCAATTGCATAGGTGTTCAGTTGATACCTCTTTAGTGCCAATTGCTTCATCCTGCATGAGGAAATCATCATCCCTATTCTGTAAAATAATCTTCTCCCCCCTAACAGCAAGCATTGGTGCCACTCCCTGACAAAACTCTAGAGAGAATACAAGTAAATATAATAAAGAGCTTACAGAAAGTCACATAACTTTGAGTATTGGACAAATCAATCCATGAACATGAACATCAAACAAAATCAAAATGCCCATTGTCCAATTACAATACTTTAACCAAATTAAACTCCACTTTAAGCACCCAGCATGAACATGTATCAAAACTCTAGGATTCACACAACATTCAACAAATCTTGCACTTTTCTACCCAAAATCAAAGTACCCATTTCCAATTACAACACTTTGACCAAAACTGTGAAATGTAACTCAGCAAACATCAAACAAAATCAACACTTTTAATCATCAATTCAACCAAGGTGCAAAACCCAATTCATTTCCAACAAAAATAACATAAACAAAATAAAATTGCACCCAATTAGTAAATTCAATTAAAAAAATGTGAGAATTTACCAGGCATTCTATCATCAAAAGAATTGGAAAAATAAGAGGGAGCCTCCTTAGCTTGCGCAATCAATTCACTGAAATCGGCACCTTTACTTTTGGGTTTAACCACATCATCCGATTCAAAGACAATCTTATCTTCTTCAATTTCATCATCGTATCGGTCCCAATTGGAAGGGAGTGAAGGCGGTGATGGTTGAGTAGTCCTCTTCTTATCTTTACCATCTTTAGAAGTTGCAGAATTCGAAATTGAAGAAGAAGATGAAGTATTCTTGGAAGGATGATGATAGGATTTTCTGGGTTGATGATGTTGAGTGTGAGATCTCTTCGATTTTGCTAGTGATTTTACGTCCATTATTCTTGTTGCCTTGTTCCGTTGGTTTTTTCTGTTGTTTCACCTCGTTTCTTGCTCAATACGGCTGACTAGGGAGAGTTCGAAACGAGTCTTCACCGCAAGTTCTGTAGCAGTGTTGAGTGCTCCTTTTCTCGGTGTTTTGTTCCTTTTAATTTGTTAACGGCTAGAGGTGGCCAATGGGCCGGGTTAGACCCAGCCCACCCTAACCCGCATGGCTGGTGGGTCACGTGGGTCCGACCCGATTTCAACCCGGTACCAACCCGGCACAACCCGGATTTAACCCGGTTTATGTCGTTGGTCCAAAATTTTCGACCCAACCCATTTCATCTCGCACAATCCGTTTTGACCCATTTAATTCGACACACTTAACCCGTGAACCCACCTAACCCGACCCACCTCGCACAAACCAGCCCACCTTGCACGCCCAACCCACCCAACCAGCCCGGCCCACCCAACCCGCCCAACCCGCCTAGTCTAACAGCCATGTTCCAAATATTTTTTCAAAACTAATGGATACTTTTTTTTTTATGAATTTGATGAACAAAATTAACAGCTACTTTAATTGTTAGTAACAACTAGTTTTTTGAGTGTACTGGCTAGTTTTTTGTATTGTATGATCATCCCCTCAATTTTTCCTATAAATACCAATTCCATTTCACTCAAATTTCCACACAACTCAAGCTTTTTTTTCTCTCTTACTCAAAATTTCTCAATTTTTCTCAAATTCTCAAGTGTTATTTAGTGTTATATAGAGTTTTATTTTTGTTAAAAAAAAATCTCCTTAATATTATTATTAGTATTTGTAAGATTCTGGGAAAAAAAAAAGGGGGCTCAAGAGTAGCAATGGGAAGGAGTCAAAGTGGTGGTCGAAGTGGTGGCCAAAGGAGTGGTGGTGCAAATTTTTCGTATGAAATTAATACGGAAAATTTAAACCAATTTGTCAATGAATATGGAGATTATGGTTTAGGAGATGGGCAAAATATTCAAACGTCTCCACCACAACATTTCTCTCACCCAATCATCGAGTTCAACTATACCACCTCTATCGTAACCTATATCACAACCAACATCTTAACTTTCATCTCAAGGTAATTTCTAATTTAATTTTTATTGTTATGAATTATTTAAAAAAGAAAACTATTATTAATAATTATAAAGTTAGTTTAGTTTTCAATTTTCTATGATTTATAATTACCATGAAAAATGCGTTTAAATAATTATAATTAAAATATTTAAAATTTAAAAGCTTATTTTCATGAATAGCGTTTAAAAATTAATTTCAATAATTTGATTTATGAAAGGTTGAAAGTAGAGGTCGAGCATAATTTTCTTAGGTGTGGAAACATTTTGAACGAGTTGACGTCACACCCCTGGGATGGCAACCCGGTCAACCAAAGAGGTTCACGTGTACATGCCTTGTTTGATTTATGAAAGGTTGAAAGTAGAGGTCGAGCATAATTTTCTTAGGTGTGGAAACATTTTGAACGAGTTGACGTCACACCCCCGGGATGGCAACCCGGTCAACCAAAGAGGTTCACGTGTACATGCCTAGTTTGCAAGGCGCTAGGTGCAAATGTCAAGTCATACAATTAGAAAACGGGCGATGGAACCAGAACCTTGAGTCGGCATTTGCAAAATAAACAGGACTTGTTCGAAAATGATCCCCGTCCTTCGGGGGGTGGGTTGCCCGTCCAAACACAATTGGGTGGATACATGAACCATTTACCCGGCGGAGGTACACCTTTCATTTATAATAAAGATAGAATGATTGATGAAATGAGTACTTTGGTTAGTTACAGTGAAAATGCAAATGTTGAACATTTTAATAAAGTTGCATTACAACCTACATTTACTCGTGTCCCCCGAAATATTCTAAGACATTATACACAAACTTCTTATTATAAGTATAGGAGTGGTTTGATTGAATTATTTCGTACTTTTGATGGTCGTGTTAGTTTTACAAGTGATACATGAACTTCTAGTTTTGGCAAACCTTTTCTTTGCATTACTGCTCATTGGGTAGATGATGATTGGTTTATTCAAAAACGTATACTATGTTTTCAAGCTATGGAAGAAAGGCATACCGGTTTGAACATCAAAGTTCGTATTTTGGATTGTTTAAAAGAATTTCACTCGAATAATAAAGTTTTTTCTTTGTCTCTTGATAATGCAGCTGCAAGCAAAAAGTGTATTGACTATTTGAAAAATGAATCCGAGTTGCATTTGTTGTTGGGTGGTAGTCTCTTGCATGTTAGATGTTGTGCTCATATTTTGAATTTGTATGTTCAAGAGGGTCTCGCTGAGTTGCAACCATTGCTAAACCTAATTAGAACAATTATAAAATGGATTAGGATTACTATGTCAGTTAGAAGAAAGTACATAGCTATGTGTAAAGACAGAGGTCTTAAGAAAAGACAATGGTCTATTGATTCCCCTACCCGTCGGAATTCTACTTTCAATTTGTTGAATGATGCTATAAAGTATCGTGAAATTTTGACCCAACTTTACAATGAGACTCGTGTTGATCCTACTGAGTTAATTACCGAAAGTCATTGGACTAATGCTTCTTTTGTTCGTGATGCTTTAAATGCTTTTGATAATGCAACTTATATTTTCTCTTATATTTATGAGCATAACATTCATTTAGTCATAATTGAGTGTGTTAAAGTTGTTCACACCATCGAAAAGCATATGAAGATTAATGGACTTCGTCCCGTTCTTGATAGCATGAAACGTAAGTGGCATACTTATTTTAGTGAATTTCCAATTATTTATGGAATTGCTGCTATTCTTGACCCCGACATCAAAGCTGAAGGTTTGGAAAATCTTTTAGAATTTTATTATACAAGTTTAAGTATCGATTATGATGTTAGTGAATATATTAACAAATGCAAATATGTTTTGGGAGACCTTTATGATTATTATGCATCTATATATGGTTTTGATTTAGCAACACCAACTACTACTAGCACTTCCAATTCTAGATTTGGTTTTCTTCATAAAGTTATGAAAAAAAAAAACACAAAGCATCTACATCATTCTCATCATCATCTTCTTCAACACTTGCTATTAATGATTATTTGTCATATCAACATGAGACTAACAACAACTTTCAAATTATAAAATGGTGGCAAGAACATCAAAAAAGTTTTCCTATATTGGCGAGAATTGCAAAAGATATACTTGTAGTTCCCGCTTCATCCGTTGCTTCCGAGTCTGCTTTTAGTGCAGGTAGAAAAGTGTTAGATGAAAAAAGATCTCGCTTAACCCCGGAAAGCATTCAAATTTTTGTTTGGAAGAAATATTGGGATCAAGCTGAAAGAAGAACTCATAGTTTAAAGGAAGACGAAGACGATGAAGATGATCTTGTGATCATATTGGAGTCGTCAACGAATGATGCAGCTTTCGGGGATGATGATGCAAAAAACATGGGTGGCTAGAAAAGTCAAAATCAGGTACGCTAAGAACTACGTGGGCTTTGATTCTTTCGAGATACGTAGGCAACTTATTTTTCGAAAATTATAATTTAATTGCAAAATTAAATTTTAGTTTTCTAAAGATAGGTCTTACCCCCCCCCCCAATTCCAAAAAAAGTACAATATAAGAACTACGTTGGCTTTGATTCCTTATTTTATGATATAAGGATACGTAGACATCTTAATTAAGAGCAACTGAGCAAGCCATCAAATTGTTAATTTTGTAAAAATTAAAACACCACACAACCCATTTAGCCATTTAGCCCACTCGACCCTAACCTACAAACCCACCCGACCCTAACACACAAACCCAGCTCAACCCAAACCACTAACCCACCCTAACCCACTAACCTACCTCGACCTACCCTAACCCACGAACCCAGCTCGACCCACCCACGACCTGTCTAACCCATGAACCTAACCCTGGTGTGTCCAACTTCTCCGACCAACCCACGACCCAGTCTACCCTACCCTACATGTGTCGTGTCGTGTGTCATGAAACCCCAACCCGCAACCCACCTAACTCTAACCCAGCTCGCACGACTCGCACGGTGGACATCTCTATTAACAACTTATTTTTACGGAGTATTAAATTTTTTTCTCAAATTTAGCATGAGAAGATTATTGTATATTTAAGGGAAATTATTTTGTTAATGTAGGAAGTTATGATAAGTTATAGTTTTTCTTTTTTAAAAAAAAGGAAAAAGAAAATTAAAAATAGGGAAGTAATAGGATTTATGGATAAAGAGTTTGGAAGCTTGCCATTAAAGTTTGCAAAATTGACTATGCAACTATATAAAAGATTTTATTTTCTAGGGTTTGTATGGTTGATATGGAAATTAAATTGTATTTCATGGAAAATTATTTCCCTAATAAAAATTCCAAGGAATTTCTGGCATTTTTGAAATCAGAATTTCATTTAGGGGTGAAAGTTCGATTTATGATTTAGATTATAGCCAAAACCGAATTCAATCCGATTTGGTTATGGAATTCTCAAAACGAATCCAAACGAAATTAAGATTCAATCCAATTCAAACCAAACCGAATTAATTCGGTTTTTCTATTTAGAATCTATAGACGTCGTTCGAAGAGCGCCTACTTAAGCATGTGGTGAATATGCTTGGAAATCATAGGAAGAGGGAATTGACATTATACGATTACAGACAAGGAAAGTATGGAGCCGCCAACAAGTTTTTAAGGAACTTGTAAACTGTTCACGAATCATTATAAGGCAACCACGATTAAGGGACAATGATAGGCAACAACGATTGACCTGTGAAGGTTACACCCCATTCATAATCCATGAGATTACTAATTTCATATGGTTCGAAACCACAAAATGAGGATCGAGGATGATGGTACGAAGTGAGTCATGGAGTTACATTGGCCTCTACTCGATTCTTATAGTGAAAAGTATTTCTTGCGATCTCAAAGGCACACAAACAAAGATTCAGTTTGCTCCGAACTATTATTAAGCTAAATTGGTTGAATGTTAATGTAATACCCTGTATTTTTGAAACGTATTTTCTAATTAATTAATTAGTATTTTCTTAAATGGGTATTTTAGTAATTTATTTTACTATTTGAATTTTGGAGCCAAAACGATATTTGAATTTTGGCGCCAACAACATTTTCAAAACTCAATTATTATTTTGGATTTTGGGTAAGATTTATTATCCATTTATTTT